AGAATAATTAATGCTTTCACTCCTCCAGCACATTCCTCCCTAGAAGGCACTGAATTAATAGCGAAGCTTCCCAGGCTTTTTTGCAGACAAGCAATTGCAGCTAGAGAGGCGATTACACAAAAATCCCATCTCCCCTATCCTTGGAAGGTGTGGAAGTTCCTCCGTCGCCAAAGAAACGGTTCCACCTCAGCACCGGAAGCGCGGAGGAGCCTCTGAAATCTGAGGACCAAAATCCTTGAGTACCACCAAGTTCAGTTCTTTGGAGCGGCATGGCCAGGGACCTGTTGTTGGACAACGAGGGCCAGTGGCCACACGGGCGGCTCCCCGGGCTCCGGCCGCCACCGGCAGAGGCTGAGCGACGTGGAACGGCACGGGGAGTTTGCAGATGCTGCTGGGGCAAGAGCCTTGTGCTGCTCCACAGCCTGGAGGGAGAAGGAACCTCACCCTCTGGAGACCCGCAGCACATTCCTGAAACACTTTTTCTATTTTTTGTGTATTTCTGTACTTTTTGTGCACAGAGAACCAGATTTAATTTGTCATCCCATATGAGGCAGATACAGTAAGAATTTAAGCTCCCTTACTTCAGGCCTTTTGCTTTAACCACTAGAACATCCATCTATTTTATGTAAGAATTAGCCAGACCACGAGAACTGCACGATACAGTCTATAAGAAATATTTCTAATGATGTAGCATTTCTGAAAACAGATTATGCAAGGATACTTTTAAAAGGATTATAATGTAATTTGGGCGTAGGCTCTGCAGAAAGACAAACACAATTCATTCTAATGTTTTCCTAACTGCCTCCTTTTTCACCGCTGTCAGGAAGCCTGCATGAAAACATACGATTTTACACCAATGACGTCTGCATCTTGCTCTTTACCAGATATGACAACCTGTATGCAACACGGCAATCTGGGAACTCTGGAGGGAATTGCATCGGTAGTTTGTGTCAATTTTCTATTTTCCGTTTCTATTAGGAAGGATTAATTTAGCATCCAAATCAATACAAATGCGTAGTAGCATAAAACCTATCAGAAAAAAAAAAATTACAAGTAAGGTCTTATCTCTGGTTCAAAGAACAGATGTAGGAAAAAAGACTGAAAATAGGAGCTTTCCCTGTAGAATACAGTTAAACAGATACCAGTATCAATGGCTGAATGCTGGAACTACAGAATTACATGCTCTTTGTGAATTCAAACTTTTAACAACTGGAGCGTGGTGGTAAATAAAAGCAGCACATTCCTCATCAGTTGGTATCTTTAAATTAAGGTAGGGTATCTGTGTAAAAGGCTTACTTTATTTCAAGAACTCACTGTTGGTAATAAGTACTGTCATGGCACGAAGAGTAACTCTCACCAGTGCAGAAACCAGTAGGTCAATAAAGCACTCAGAAACAGATTTCTGTTCTCATTTGTGCAGCTATAGAATAAGTAAATGGAATAAAAGAGCAAATAGGAATCCTACTTCAAAAACGGACCTTCTTTAAGATGTTTACTATGATGTCCAGGAAACCGTTATTCTGCAGCTTACAAGTGAGCAGTGCCAGTAACAGACCAGTCAGCTTTTCTTTTAAAAGGGCGAGTTCAATCATTGCATACTTATGCATTAACTTGTATTCCTTTCTAACTTGATGATAAATGACGATGTATTTTAGGCAGTCTTTTCCATTGGACATTTGCTGACCTTTGTCTGACTAGAATGAAAGAAAAGTGCAATGTCAACTTTCACCTTTCTATCCAAACATACCATAGGAATGGATACGTGTCAAGCAAATCTGAATGTACAGCGAGTTAATCTTGGGCTTTTCCAGACTAACGTTGTACTGCAGTTCTACTTACATCTGCTCAAAGGAGCAACTAAGATACAGGAACAGGTCCGCTCCAGTAGCCAGAGACAACCTGCCTTCACAGAGCAGATAAAACGACTTGCTCTTTCCTGGCATGCCTGCAACCTGCTATTGTGCCGCACATCCCTGCCCTCAGTCTCCTACAACAGTTTTGCAAAGCGAGGCCACCCGCAGAACAGGCTACAGCAGTCAGTTCACGGCACCCACACCGCGCGTCTGGGACAAACCTTCACCCTGGCTGTATGCTGAGGGGCTGGGGAAGAGTTTTGCAGTGTAACATACTGCGTGCTTCATCCTTCCAGCGCCCTTCCGCTGAATACTGCTGAAGACTGCCACCAAGTATGCCTGACTCACTGCTGGCTTCCAAACCTGCCCGACCACAGGTTTTATCTTATCCCTACCGGGTATTACCTGGATTAGCCAAGTACTTCACTAATTTTACTGTTCTTAAATACTATTAATAAATCTTATCATGGAGACTCTGATGAAGAGTTACAGGTAATGTGGCTTGCCAGTGACTTCCCACATCCCATCATGGGAGTACCTGAAATAGCCAGCAAAACGCCTCCGATACAACGCAGGACCAGGTCAGTTACAGATTTCCTGCAGCTGTAGCTGGCAGAGTTCCCACCAGGCAGTATTTTAAGGCCTCCTCCCCTTTTGGCAGACTCTTCTGAGGAAAAACAAAAGCCAAAGCACTGCTTGTCTATTCTGAGAAGTGGACCCCTTTGGAGGATAGCAGTGCCTGATATTGCCTGTGAAAATTAATCTAATAGTCTTTCAACAGAGCTTCTCAAAGGCAAACAGTCCACTTTTGCTGAGATTGAGATTTAAAAAGGCATCTAAACAAGACAGCAAGGAGTACACGACAGAGAAGGCAAACTGTTTTACCACTGGTGAGGCTAAGATTTGAATGTTTCGGGTTCCCCTAGTAACCTTATTTTTAATGCAAAACAAAAAATTGTAGAAGTTGCAGAAAAGAGTTCCCCAAATTCTTAGGGTTTAGGTAGAATGCATCACACCGAATCAGCTATTCATTTCATCAAAATGCAAGTTAGGAGACAATGCAATTAAAAGTACAGATAAACTCACAGGAACCAGTACCAGGTATAAAGGGGCTTTACTGTCCCTGGAGAGAGCCTCTAAAACATCCAGACGGTATTAGCGACACAACTTCAAAATGATGGCCAGTGCCTGAATAATGGAAGTGATTCACCATTGTCCAAGCTACTAAAGGAAACGGGGGAATTTCCATTATTTGGTATTTTCCTGTCAAAACTCGGTGCCAAGCTGGAAGTCATGTCTTAGCCAAGCAGAGCTTACGCCTTAGCTAAAAGTCAAACGGGATATACAGGGAGGTCACACCAGATCCACTCACGCCTTCTACCCTTAAATCTCATGACTGTAAGGAGAGAAGCAGGTTTCCTCCCCCTTCCTCGGCCCTTAAGGAAAACAAGTCTTCTAATCTATTTAGAGGCCCTTTTTGACATTCTTTAGCTGCAGTTTTTCTCAATCAACCTAATCTTTTCCCATCAAGCTCCATGCTAATCCCATTTTGCTCCACTCCTTAAACTAATAAAAGATTAGAGTGACATTTCAGAAAGGGCATCCTATTAAGCAGCTTCTTTCCCATCTCAACAGATCACACAGTACAAAATGTAGTGAACAGGCCATTAATCTTATGGTAATGAGGTGTCAGTCTGAATTGGAGACCTCCTCCTTGATCAATATGAAGGGCGCAGGAATAATGAGGACGCTGCTGCTTGCCATTGCTGGCAACTTTGCCAGAAGGCAGCAGGTCCATAAAGCGTTGTTGTAATGGTGGCAACAGCCCTTGTCACCACAGCACTCTGCCCTTGACGACAGAGAGCAAGCATCCACACCGATCCGTCACCCCCTGTGCCACCCACACATAATGAGCTTTTCCCTATGTTCTAATTAGTGGTGTAAAACTGTTTAACAACTTCAGCTTTGCTCTAACATGAAATCAATTAGGATTAGCAGCCACACACAGAGAAATTTTTCACACCTATCCAGCTGGTGAAAATCAGCTGTCTTCATTCCTACAGTGGACAAGTCATTGCTCTTCCTGGTGACACCCCTGCATTGGTATTACCCAATTTGCTTTTATACAGAAAGAATTTTTTCCTTTTACTAAACAAGTCACCATTCCCCTTAAAGAAAGCTCTGCACAGCTACCATACTCCTGAAAGACTCAAGTTTTATCAAGTGCTGAGAAAACTTTCCAGAAAAAGTACAAGGCCCATCCTGGCTAAGTGATGCTTGGTGGCCTCCTTTCACTTGCTCTAATAGGATGCTCTTCCTTCAAGAGCGAGGTGGGCTGGGAGATCCAGCTCTTCTGCATCCACAATGCCATCAAACTGCACTGAACCCAGAAGGGCTCCATGTGGTCACAACTGCATGTTTACACAGAACACGCTGGAGCAACGGGGCTGAAAAATAATCAGAAGGGTGTTAACTCAGGGAGAGGGCTGCTAAAGGAACAGCGGAACATGAGCAGCACATCTCTCGTTCCTAGGGAAACGCCTCTGTGCACGGGTTTCACTTTTACATTTGCTTTTCTTTCTTGAACTAATGAATAGGAGCTGTGGATTTGGTATCCCCAAGTGTCTGAAGGTCAAATTGCCCTACAATTTACAGTTGTAATTTGTGCTTTTGCATGGTTGGTGTAGTTACTACTGATACAGGTCAGAGTTCTTCCCAAAATACCCACCCTGTAGAGGAATTCAGCCCTTCTCCTCCCATTTGACGCAGTCTAACCCTGCAAAGTCACTGTTCCGTCTTGGTACAGTAAATTAATGCTAAATATCAACATCAAAGAAACTGATTATTTGGAACTATTTCAAGGACAACATTCACCTGAAACTGAATCTTTACAGCAGCTGACAAAACACAACACTTTTCTGCAATCACAGTAGGACACAGTATCACTGGTATTGCCAATAAATGCCAATTTTTAACCATGCAGCCTCTAGCTAAGTCTTTATTCTGATTTTCTTATCTAATTACATACATAAAAGAGATACAGTGAAGTAAAATGAAAGGTTCTTCTCCCATGCAAATTTCTTAGAAAAATCCTACCCCTCCATCTTTTTTGGAAATCAACCGTCTTGGTAAAGCTTTTCTATTTACCTGTATACTGTGGTAGGTGGAGAATTCAGCGTGTCGTAGATGAGCCTCACGTGTCCTTGGTACAACTCCAGAGCCAAAGGATCATTGTCTCCTTTGTATAATAAGATGCCATTGTCCTTGTCCGTTGCTACCTGTGAAACATTAATAACCACGTAAAGTTGCTTGAGAATGATTAAAGAAGAAATAAACCTATATTAAAAATCAAACGAAAATCATATACGCAATTCAAATATGATTTAATAAATCATATATATGAGCAACAATGAGAGCAAGAGCCACGAGACGCAAAAAGGTCTTGGTGACATTGAGTCAGCTCATACACAAACAGGCCAACCTCCCACTACGGGATGGCTCCCTTGTTTCAAATGAGAACTAGTTTTCAGGAGGCAAAAGCTGCAATTTATTTGATCCTTGTCAATAAAGAATTTATTTCTCAGCTACTATCCAAGCTTGAAGTGGAGGTTTAGAAAATCAACTCTGGCAGCAGCAGGAGTGTGTCACAATTACAAGCAAACAAATTTCAGCAGACGCTGATCTGTTCACAGACTTTTTATGAACAAAAAGAAGGAAAGAAGGACCTGTCCCCACATTTAGCATAACCATGAGTTATTCACTCAATCTGAGTTATTAGTAAGTCACGCTGAGTTCACATGGGACATTTAGAGTCAGGAAGAACAGAGTAGCCCTTGTCCCTCTAGCTTTGATGTACATCGAGGAAAAAAAAAAATTGAACGCTGAATCAAAAACCAAGGACTCCCCTTTCCCAGTCTCCAGCTCTCAAATATCCCTATAGTGCAAAAGAAAAAAAAAAAAAAAAAAAAAGGAAGAGAGAAAACGGGGTTTTTGGATACAACCTGCCTGTTATTTTCACAATACATATTACTTGAGATTTCTCGCTTATTTTTTTATAATGGCTGTTAAATGCTGAAGCTAAACAGTACATTTAAAAATCTGTTTGCATTTATATATGTGTTTTTAAAAACTATTCTTTTGCCCTTGAAAGATTTTTTTTTTTCTTGAACACGTTTTAGTAAGATTTCCTCTATCTATTCTTAATAATCAATGTGGTATTCTAATTTTAATTCACTAGTGATTAATTACTGGATGCAAGAATAATATTCAGCCTGGGAAACAAGAAGTGAGAAAGTCATCTGCACGTGCTTTCTGTAATAATCTGTTTTATTCTTCAAGCTGTGGCTGATGTAACATGTTTTGTACACTTAAGAAGACAATGTCCAGATTTTAAAGTTGACCTACAGTATTTGGAGCTCTTGGGAGCCATACTTTAGAGTGCCCAAATTTTAGAATCTCTTTTGTGATATTAAATAAAAGGGAATTTTGAAGAAAAAATGGAGTTTCAATTATACATGAATCAGCTTCATTTTCGTAAGAACTGTATACTCAAACTCTTAAAGAAAAGATAAATATTAATTATGGAATTTTCTCATTAGAATAAACTTTGCAGGAACCACCCTTTAAAAATCTATTCCTAATGTGGAAATTCGGTCCTTTTTCCCACATGTCGACACTGGTATTTTAATTACAACTAAGCTCCATCAAGTAAGTGTAGAACATGATTTCCAACCGTGGAATACAATCTCTTCAAATTGAGAAAATAAATGCAATAAAAAACATACAGTGATGATTTTTCTTCTCACATCTTTTGAAATGTTATGCTTCATTTGTAGGATGAATCTAGCATAGAAATAGTCCAGATTAGCAATCAGTGGCCTGAGAGAGAGATGTGTCATGCCATATATGTGCTCCACACATCTCTCCATCAGAAAACGTATAAAGCTAGAAATTACTCCCTCACTTACTTTGGGATATTAGGGGAAAAAAAAAATCCATTTAATGCCTACTAGATTGTGAATGCAAGTAACTTCCAAATCACTTAAATATCATATTGGACTAAGTATCCAAAACACCTCTGATCCACAGCCACAAAGATGACAGTAGCGGCATGGCACCTTTAATATCTGTTTTCCATTGCCTTCTGAGCCTTACACTGCAAACCAAATTTAGGTGTAACAACAGGACTTTTATCTATGGAAAGTGCACAGTAAAAGAGCAAGCAAACTATTGTCTAGAAAGGCCATTTAGAGCAGTCTCTTTTAATAAGCCTCCTAATATTAAGCACTAATTTCTACAGGATGAAACACAATGCTGTAAATCAGTAAGAAGACAGGGAGGTTTGCTGAATCATCTCTAGTTACACTGCCAGTCTGGGAATAAAAGAGTGGTGAGATTCTGGAGGCAGGACGTGTGTCCACAAAGGTACAGTGGTACCTTAGTTGCTCTTTAATGTTTCAATAATTTTACAGCAGACAACTGGCTCACAAGTTGTCTCTGACTTTGTCAGCATCTTGGCCAACAGGCCCTGTTCCTTCAGAATAAAAAAAAAAATATACATGTATATGTATTATTGCTTAGAAGAGCACTGGGCTGGCAACTGATATTCTGCGTGACATACCTGGAGAGAGATGTTTGCTTGAGGGCGAATTTTGGCTGATGGCAGCTCCACATAGGAATCCTTCCCAACAAAGTTGACTGTGATGAGCTTCTCGCACTTCTGCCCAGCAAAGCCAGCGAGGCAGCGGCAGACAGGCTCATGGTGCACGACGATGCACTGGGCCCCATTCTGGCACTCGTAGTTATCACACGGGCTCGTCTGGAGCAGAACCATCGGCGGAGGAGTTTCACAGAAAAGTCCACTGTAGAAGGTAAAGGAAAGAAGAAGCGGTCTCAATTACTGCAATTTTTGTAAGGAAGGAAACACTTTCAGATGCTGATATTATTCTCCTACTGTGGTACAGAGACTCTGAGATTCAGCTACCGTGTGCCTGCTTTACTGTGTGCAAGCTATAGAGCATAGTGCTGTACAGAAGTGCTCACGCTTGGTCTGAACGAGCCAGTTCAAATACCGCAAAGCAATTTTTCCTGCACTTTGCACTGGTTATTTAGCTCTGCAAGGTACAGCAGTCTGTCTAAAATAGCTTTCATCCCACACTGTGCCGTGCAGACGTTCCCAGCAAAAACTGAGAGCCATTTAAGCCCAAACCTGAGATTTCCTCACCTGCTCTCCCTGCCATCCAGAAACATGCACCGCTCCTCAGCCAAAAATCCCCGTCCTAGGCTTTGTGACTTGAGTCTACCTCTGCTGGTGGTAAGCAAGGGGAAAATCCGCTATTTTTAGTGTTTTTTACAGCCTCCTCACTTGCTTTACTGTCTATCAGCAAGTGTATCATCAATAGATGGGCAACTGCTAAAAAGTCTCAGAAGCAATGCCCAGATACCACGCTATTGGATGGGCAGCTGCCCTGAATTGATTGTTTCTAACAGCATCAGGATCATCGACCTTATTTTAGCTGAGTTTGTGGCTGGCAGTGTCCTGGATCAGAAAAATGCAAAGGAAAGATCTCCCGGAGTCAGAGGTAACTGAAAACCAAATGCCAGATCTGAGTACTTGTGAACTCGAATTGTATTCAGATCTGGAGGAAAACGCTGTGGTTCGGTCTTAACTATAGGAGAGGCTGAGGAAAACCCACGTGTAGGAACCTCTGAGGCTTGGGCCACATCTCCCAGGAGCAGCGCTGGCTCAGTCGCCTGCTGCCTTCCTGGATTCAGCATGGCTGCACGCTTCACAGGTTGTGTGCTGGAATAACTCAGCTACACTGACGTATCGACACCAGCAGAGAAGGAGCAGGGAAAAGGAGAAAGTGCAAAAAGCTGCAGTCATCCTTCACAGTGATGTCACATGTCGGACTAAACTGCAAAAAGTAAATCAAACATCTCTGCCCAGTACCCCCACTGGGCCTGTGCAATCAACGGGCACTGCCAAGGGAGCGGGCCAGGCCCTCTGGCTGGCTGGCTGCAGACAGTATGTCCCTGCACCTGTACCCCAAATTTCTCATTGCAACCGCTGTCCAAACCCAACAAACCCTTTCTGTACTGATGAGAGAACATAACCTCTCTGCACTGAGTCCTGTGACTGCTTGAAAATGTGTAGACAGTAAAACGATGATGACAAATTAGGAGGTGGTGAGTAGGGAGCGTGCATCAGGCTGTGGAGCGGGGAACACCGTGCGGGTAGCTGCGGGGGCAGAGGGCTTGCCAGGAGAGGACTGTGGCAGACCCATTCACGCAGGGAATAACCCATCAGCCCAGTCCTGGAACAGTGAAATCCCACTTGTCCCACTAGCAATTTCCTGCCATTCGGGGAGCACTTTGTGGAATAATAGCACTCATAAAAACAATGCAAAAAACTGCCAAAACCCTCACTCCTCTCCAGTAAAGCAGGTGAGACTTGGAAGCTCAGTGAATTTCTAGGCAACGTTCCTAGATACAATTAGAATAGAAATCCAAGCGATTACCCTGCAGTAAATAGTACTGATACAAGACGTGCAAAAACAGCAAATAAAACAGCCACAACGTACTCAAGACCAATCTTGCTTAGCCACAGAGACCAGAACCTGCTGCCTCTGTAACAGAAGGAAATGGCGATGACCGCTTTCCTTTTTACATTTTCTCATGTGAAATTTTGCACAGAGTATCATGACTCTAGCGCTGTGTGGAATGAGAGCCTAAACCTCTAGGGCTAGATCCTGAACTGCATCAAAAGCAATGGAGTTGTTCTGCTTTTCTATCACGTCTGAGAGAAGAAGAGACACAGGGTTTTACACTCCTACTTTTACAAAGGGAAACTTGAAGAATGCCTTGAAAGATGCAAACATTTGGGATTTGCACCTGGGAGAAGGCCAGAAAACTCTCCTTTCCGCACAGCTGTTCTACAGCATGGAACACCCTAACCAGCTTCCTAACTGTGCCCAAATCTGTATGTTGGCCTCGTACACGGCGATGCGGGTATGGCAAACAAAAATCTATTACACAGGAATGAGCATGTGGAGGGTGAAGAACACTGCTGGGGGTGCCCGAGGCCTAAGGCCCAGCGCTGCGCTGGCCTCGCGCCGCGGCCCCGTGTGCACGCCCTGCAGGGACTGTCCCGCTCCCACCCTGGCGTCACTCGGCGTTGGCTGTGCTTGTGTACGCAAACACGCGGATGTTTCCTTCTCAGCCAGAACCACTTCTCGGTACTTTTCAGGATAAATTGCATTTCAACACTTTTCTCATTGCGTTGCCCTGAACTTCCAGTATTCACCACAAGGACGGAGTGATGTTTCACAGCCCGCCTCCCCATGTCTGTCCCATTGCTACCTCGCTTCTCGAAGGGACAGGGAGCTGTGGTTCACAGGGAGCCCTTACCTCCCCTTGTTGCCCGGGTGACACTCGGTGCTGTAAGTGGGCACAGTCACAGGCTGCTAATACTGTCAGCAAAGGGTTCGGGGGGCTGGGGGGAGCAAAGCACCCCCTGTCAGCCAAGTGGTAAATATCCTCTACCAGAACAGCACAATCTTGTGTAGGGACAAGCCAATCTCTTCCTTTAGACACACGTATCTCAAAAGTGTACTCTGGCAGGCAATACTGCTGGCAATCAATAAACCCCATTTACTTTGCTCCAAGGAGTATTTGGAGGAGACATACAGGGTCAGTGCGGTGCTCAGCCTGCTGTGGGCAGCAGTGGAAATGGGAGCACGGCGGGCAGTACGGTGTGGGGGAATACCGCATATGGGAAATAGTTGTCTTTGCTCAGTCTGATGTGTTTCTCAAAGTAAATTTGTTCTTGGGAACATTTCTTTGTGAATACACCTGAACTATGAATTAGTTATAGACTAAGAAACTTTCTCTTCCTGAGCGAGACCCTTTGCTGCAGCTTCGTGGCAGAGCCCCACGGGCCACCCTATTCCCGAGGGTGAGCGCAGTACCTCGGGGGCCTTACCGCCATGCAGCAAGAGACGGTTTCGGTTCCCCTTTCCAAAAAACCAAGGGAATATTAAAAAATAGCAACAACTTCATGGGAAGATAGATACACAGAAAGCAATTCTTGCCAGTTTAAGGTAGTTACTGTAGTAGCTGCCTACCAGCACAGCAGTCAGACCCAGGCAGAGCTGATGAGCTGAGGACACACCAGCACCACGTCCCCATTGCTAGCCGGGCACTAAAGTGGACTGTCCGACTGGAGCATTTTCCTCTTCAAAGCCTGGTTTCATTAAGTGTGGGATCTCTCTTGCCAGTGCAGGGCTTTGCAGCTGGCTGGGAAACACATCAGGAGAGCCAGCAATGGGATCAGACTAGGATCGACCCCAGAGATGGCTGTCACCCCTGCCCTGATGGCAGGTGTGATTGTTTTCCAGAGGTGACTAGCAGAAAGGAGCGCTGCTGACCCAGCCCATTAGCTTTGTTCTACCTAATCCCAATCATTTTGTTTTGTCTGCAAGTGACAACTAGAAAGCAGAAGGGAAGTTAGTGTATATAATTCTAATTTCATGGAAGTTAAAAATAATAATAATAAAAAAATCCATGCAACCCACAACAGCCTCCACTAACAGAAAGCAAATGTTGCAAGAAGTCAGTGTGTCTGTGCTTGGGGCTGCTCTGAAAGATTCCCTGAGCTCCCAGTACAGCTCCTGCACAACCCAACCCTCCCTTGCCGTGAAACCCCTTCAGTGGGTGGCTTTACAAGTGCAGCTGCCCCGCTACTGGCATCTAGAAGATACATTAGCAACGGTGTCTGTCAAGGCCTTTTCTTCTTTATTTTAAAGTATTTTTTTAAAAATATATTTTTAGAAATAATTAACACTATTTATTTCCCCAGCAGTGGAATGTGGAGCACAGCCTGACTTGCATAGCTTGGCCCAGTCCATTCTGCCTGGTACAATCTCATTTATTGAAATCATCCCTGCTGAGTTTCTTGCAGCAAACTATCCCAGTGGGGAGCTCTGAAGCATCTACACAAGGGAGGAAGAGTGCTTTCTATCGAGCACAGCAGCCTTAATGTGTGCTTCCCCACTAGAGCAACATTTATCAGGACAACGCTACTGTGAGGTTGATTGCTAGAGGGAAGGTTTGATAAGTTTTGTCCAATGGGCTTCACAAATTCTCAAAAAATGTTTTCATCTACAGGGGGTAAACGAGTGCTATTTTAGGAAGAAAACACTGAGAACTTTTCGGGAAGAAAGTGTATTATATAATTGCAAAAGGTTGCTGAGTGATAAGGAAAGGTGCTGTGCGGAGCACCACTACACACGAACAGTGACTAGGAAATGCTAAGATGGGAAAACAGGCGTGTGCGTGTTGGTACTATTGCTTTTTGGGCTGCCCTCAGAGGTGTGTCAGCGTGCATACGAGGTCCTACGGTGGTAAGAATTACCGGAGTGCCATTTGTTCAACCACGCGAGGATGTAAGTTTTGACATCCTTATTAATGTGTGACTCCAAGTGGCTTTGACGTACGGCATAGTGACAACCATAAAATTTGTTACAGGTCCATGCATTTATTACAACAGCATAACCTCCAGATAACTGGGAGGTCACTCTGCAAACTCACTGCTGGGAAATGATTCCTGATACTTGGCCAAAAAACTTTATTAACTATCATCTTAGGTCTCCTAGTTACCTTTGTCAGACCACCCCCTGCATTCTCTCCTTTTCATCAACACTTGCAGCCTTCAAATACTTGCAAAGTTATCTCCTTGCCGCACAGCCCAGCGCCTGAGGCACGCTTCGTGAACAGTTGAGTCTATAACCTGAACATCAGAAGCCTGAACTCTGTCAATCACCGTCTTTGCAATTGCAATCTTAAAAGGGGAAAAAAAAAATCAGAAGCCGCTTCAGAGCAGCCGGCCTTTAAACCACAAAAGGCTGGAGTCATGGAAAGAATAATGAGCAGATCATATTTTGTTGGCAGAATTTTAATCCTGAAATCAAACAAGATCAGGGACTATTCTGCATGGAGAACAAGGGGCTTCAGCTTGCTCTCCACCTTGGCGGAGGGAGCCTGTTAGTGCCCACTGCGATGTTTTTCTCCTAAAAGACCCTTGCTCTCTTGCATCTTGCACAGGAGATTTAGGGAGGTGGCATGGACTGGTGCAAAAAAATGAAAGCAAGCAGGAGACCTGAAGTGAATCTTGGCTCTGCTGTTGACAGGCAGCAGGATGACTTTGCTCACCTAAGTCTACCTTCAGCTACGAAGTGCTCTCTAAGCTAGTTTTGGAGCTTTGTGTAGAAAGATGTTTCTTCTTGGAGGACTTGTAGTGGAATGAAGCCCCCTCATTTGAGCGAGGGAGCAGGCTGGGCTGTTCCAGATTCTGCTCTTGAAGTCCCTGGTGTGAGATCAGCCAACCCGAGGCACTGCCCAAATTGCCAGTAGAGCTCCTTGGTACAGAGCAAGGGACCCAGGCCAGTCTTCCACCTACCCCTACTGCTCTGCTCATCTGTGTCACAACCCAAAACATCTCTGTAAACTGTCACCCTGCCTTCCTGAAAAAAAAAACCCCAAAAGCAAACCTCACATTGATCACTGCCTAGTACTGACATGCCTTAAAGATCAGAGGACCTGCAGCAGAAGTCTCCCCGTCGCTACCATCTGATGACGGGCTCGAGTTACCCTTGACTCCAGATACAGCTTTGCAATCCCATTTGTCAACTCTAACAATTAGATAACATTGAGCATTTACAATTCCACTGTGGGACAGCCACTTGTTATCCTTGCCAGTCACCAATTTGCAAGATCCCTAAGGCCATCAAAGGGATTGAAGCAGAGAATGAAACATGGAGAAAAGGGTATGAATTTGAAATTCAGAGGATATCTGATAACCTGTAAATAACAAGTCTGATTCTGTGAAACCACGGGCTGACATCATGTTATATATCAATGCCTATTCAGGGAAGCCTGTCTGCTTTGCAATAAAAACGTGTGTTGAGAGGGGAAAAAAACCCAAAAACCAGCAAGGATGAAAGCAAGAAGAATGAGAACAGTTGCAGATACAAAGCAGAGAAAATGATTTATAAGTGTTCATGCAACTTCTGCTTTGTCAAGACTGATCTTTTCAGGTACTCCTTCTTTGTCTCATGTGTGTATTTCAAACGCAGAAAAGGTTTAGCTGGAAGGAAGCCAGTATCCAGCCTCAGGCAATGATTAGTGAATCCATTTGGAGCAGCACACTTATCTTTGACAGACAGAGAGATTTCCAGGAGTCAGATATATTGGCAGCTGTCAGAATCAGAGACTGGAAATTTACAGCCCAAATCGTACTCAGCACAACAGGCACAGAGATACTGGCACAAAATCTTCAGACACATGTTTTCTTGCGGCCAGGTCTGAGGGTTCATATATGTAATTTTATTATCCTTTGCTCACTCTCACGCATGCAGAATTTATCTCCATATAATTTATGTGAGCGTATTACCTAGCGTTTTACCAGGAAAGGCTGGGGCAGGCAGGCAGGCAAACTAACACAGCACTGCACAAAAGGCAAATTGCTGTTTTCAAAGCAAGAATCATCAATCCCCTGTATTCAGTTGACTTGTTAAGACCTACCTCATCTACAGGATTTGAAGCACTGAGCCATCCAATCACGTAGGAATGACAGATCGATACCATATCTAGAGGCTGCTTAGCTCTGAGGATGAAAGCAATTAAAGAAAGTGCCCCAACACTATGTACAGAAGACAGTCCGGGGGAGGAGCTGACTCTCACGTACCTGAAACCCTGAGGACAGACGCAGGTGTAGCCATTGACTGCATCTACGCAGACAGCTCCATGGCGACACTTATGGCCCACGCAGTCATCATCATCTATTTCACAGTGTTTTCCACTGTAACCCGGCAAGCACTCACATCTGAAATACAAGAAGATCACTTTTAATAGCTTGTTTCAACATTCATGACAATAGCACACACAGGCAGCCTAGCACCAATCTGATTTGAGCTGGAAAGGTGTTAGCAATTATTCCTGGAAACATCAAGCACAATTCCTGCCATCAGAAATGCTCAAGTCCCTCCTGTCTGTCTGCAGCTGAGGTTCTGCAATCTGCTTAAATTCAAGCCGAGCAAAGCAATACCATACTACTGCTTTTCCTCACCCAAGTCCGTGGAGAAGGGTGATCATACAGCGGTCTCCCAATTAGGCTAAAGATGACAATATCTTCTCTAACCTTACAGACTCAAAGGGCAATATTCTGCAAGGGCAGTTGCTCTGATGTCTCAGACTACGATTCTGCCAATGTCTGCATGCTGCCGAGTGTCTGAGGTTGGCCCTGTGCAGCTACACAGAGCACAGTAAGGTTCCACCTTCCAAGTGGAAGCAATCTGCAAGCAAGCTGTAAAACTCAGCAAATTTAAAGAAAAGGTTCATCAGTTTTGAGACCACCACCTGCTTGTCGTCCATTTGCAAGGCCTAGGAAATGTTGCTGCAACTACAGAAAGTTGTCTTTGAAGCCTGTCCTTTCCCGTGGTGACGCTCAGGCGAAGCATGTACCTGCTGCTATGGGGTAACACCATTCGTAGGAGCAACACAATGGGATGCACCCAAACCTGCACCCAAGCCTGCAGACAGGCTTTTTATTTTATTTTATTTTATACAATTCTCAAGTGTGTTGTACGAAGGCTGCATCAGCATTTCTATTATAAGCCTTGCAGAAGTTTATAACCTGACAATAGAAAATGCATCCCAAAGTCTCTGACTTGGAACAGATCTTTTGGGATTGCTAAATAGCCTCTTTTGGAATCTATAGTGTAGACAACATTTAGTCATGAACGCGCTTTAGTCCATAAAACACGTTTTACTCCTCCCAGCTGGATGTTACTGCACATCTGGAAAACAAAAGGCATATCACTTAAACCAAAACAAGAGGAGAGCTACACTTCAGTAATAGAAAAGAAGTCTCTGCTCTTGCTGGAGCCCCTTGTTTGGACCCAGCATGCTTGCCACCAAGAGCTGGAAGAGGAGAGACACCACAAAGCCAAGGGAGGCGGCATCAGACAAGAAACTACTGCTCCAGCAACCTATTCTGCTGGCCTCCTCCTCCTCCCTGCCAGCAGCCTGGTGGGGTAAGTGCAGGACAAGGCTTCTTGTAGAAAACCTCTTCAGAGGAACTGGACGCATGGGGGCTGACGAGGAAAGAAATTTCCAGTTTCCAGGCAGGATTGTGCTGAATTTGGTTCCAAGTGACAGTGTATTTTGGATCCTGGCCTCTCCCCAGCTCACCAGTGCAAGGCAGCGAGTTGGGGGAATCTAGCCAGAGTGCAACAGTGGGTCCTGTGTTTGCCAATGACCAGCGAACGGCTGCCACAGCATCAGGACTTCAGCAACCATCTATCTGAAGCACTGAGAAGAATGTGACCTTCAGTCTCCATTTCAAAACATGGCTTGTGACTGGCTAAAAAAGGAGGAAATAGGGCAAAGCCTATTAACCTGCAGGCTGTAGGATGGATAACGTTACGTAGATGCACATACTTTCTTTCTCCATCCTCCCTACAGGGAGGGCCCCATCACAACCCTCCGCAGCCACAGGACGGTTGACGTTCCAGCTCTGCATGCCTGAATTGCTTTTTTACACCTTGGTGGCTCAGGGAATACTGTGATTAACATAACGGAGATGACAAAACAGAGCAAAAAGTGTTCCTTCCCCAAACCATAAGAAGCGGGCAACATTTTTTGGCAACATTTTAGTCACACCTGCAAGCAAATAATGTCAATCAAAAGACTTTGTGGGGGGAATTGGCAGCATTTAATCCTGTTGCCTTTTATTGATCCCTGCAGTCCTAATATAAAGTGATGTAATAACGAATGATGTGCAGTTCCTTATTCAGGGCTGCCATGCATCAATTTTATGATGTGTATTGGCTATCTCAGTAATGACAGAACCACCACTTTTCTCTGCAGGGCTGCATTAAATCAGCATTTTAAACTGTCAGGTAATAATTCCAAGCTTTAGAATAATAAAGTATATTTATACCATGCTCCAACATCAATACAGTGAATGGAAAAACATGCTCCTTTCCTGAAGTTATTTTTTTAGAAGTCATTTCATTGTGTTAAATGGTATTTTTTTGTTGATTTTTGTTTTGCTCTCTGGCATACAGAAAGCTACTCTTCTTCTACAGTAACAGCACAATAAAGATGTGGAGGCTGGAAATGAGGAAAGCCACCTGCAATTTTAGCTTAGAAAGCAGAGAGCTCTGTGCAGCCAAGCACACACTGAAATAGCTGAGTTTGCTTCCAAGCTTGTCTTTCCCTTTAGAAGCATGGAATTCCTTTTGGGTCAGTCATCTCTGAGCTCTTAGTGTGCCACATCTAGGCTGAAGCTACCAAAAAATGCAGCAGGTGAGGAGCTCAGCCACGTGAGTGCCTCACCCAGCCTCCTCCTAGAAACCCAAGGTCTCCCCCCCCCAGGGAATGATGCCACATTAGCTCCATCCCTATCCCACACAGTGCCAGCAAGTGACTGAGTATCAGTAGAAGTATGATGAAGTAAAGGAGGAGGCAAAGAAACTTTCATATTAAAATCCTGGTAAGAGAGTAATTTACGTGATTAGATTAGTTATCTCATTTCCCAGTGACCATCTGACACCAGTACAGTTGAAATCCTGTTTCTGCTACAGCGTTGTAGTGATGGCAACATTCCCAGTATCAGAGAGAGCCTAAAAACATGTCTAGTGGTGTTTAAAATGTTGGCCTATCTGACGGGATTTGCATCTGCATGCACTCAATGTCTATTGTATTAAAGCCATGAATCACGGCTTCTATTGCAGGGCCAGAATGGAATTTCCCTCCCCATATCAATAAATAACTTGGCTTCCTATTTTTTTTCCTGTCTTTGTCATCTTTTCCTCTCTCTGCAGAGTTGCAGACCGACTAGAGCTGAAGGCAGGACAGACAGACTGACTGGCATCCTTGCTGCTATGGTATTCTTCACTGGTGTGTCCTACTCACGTGCCCAGGGCACAAACCTGACAAGCGGATGGTCAGCTCAGGAACAAGCCTGAATCCTGCCATTACTATTCCCCGCCTCTGTTAGCAGAGCAGAGGACTGGTGCACGAGCTTGACTCATCCTGCACGCGGCATGACACTGCACCATTACGTGCTAAATGCGTGGCACATCACAGGGCAGGGGATCAGACTGCTCCAGGGATCAGCAGCAGCACAGGACTGGAGGTTGTTGCTTTCAGTGAGACCCAGCAGCAACCACGCATCACTGCAAAAGCTGCCGAGGGCTCTCAGCCCATTTCTGAATGGTTTGGTGCAACTAAAACATGAAAGAAAAAGCAATACTTGGACGAATCTACATTCAAGGCTGGGCAGGCTCTCTCACCTCTCAAGTCTGGCCTGCTAGAAAGCAAAACAGGACAGAAAAGGTAAAGAAATTCTGGATTTCTGCGTAGCATTCTATGAATAGTGGGAAGAGTAATGCAACAAACAGTAGTAGAAAATACTTAACAAGTAGTTATTTAGGTTCCCCTCAAGGGTTAATGGCCCCACTGTGAAGAACACTTTTCCAGCAAGCAAGCAAGCAAAAGTATCTTATTTACTCAAATTATTTCGGTGGCAGGTATGAAAATGCTTCCAGCAAGGGTAAAACCTTTCAGGACCACAGCCGTCTCCATCCCTTCATACATCTAACAACATAAGGTCATTTGAGTTACAAGCCTTTGCTTCATAACATGATGTAGCTACTGGATTAGCTGAATGATGGATCAACTAGGAAGGAAAGCTGGAAAGAACATCAGGGACTACTTATGTACCAGTACACAGCTCCTTATCCAGTCCCTGTGCATCATTTCAGGAACTGTCCTAATCATTTAACAGTTTCATCTTCCTCAAGAGTTGGAAACATTTCTGTCTGGAGGTTTTTCACCCAAAAGAAAGGCTTGAGTTGTACACACTGACTGTCTAGCACAGATTCAGCTACTCTCTAGATAGCCAGCATCTCTAAAATTTTTCTTCGCTTCCTTTGAACTATCCTGAAATGTTCTGTGTGTTAGTTTACACTATTCTGACGTGCCAGTTGCTTTACAGGACACAATCTGACACCAACTGCAAGTTACCAGGAAGACCAAAGAGTGCTACCGTCTCTCCCCTGCGACATGCTGGGTGTGCTGGGTGAGGGCATCCCTCGACAAAAGCCCAGCCCTGCCTCCCAGGAGGGAATCGGTGAGCCCCCAGGACTGCATCGCAGCCGTGAAAACAGCCTTAGTAAAGTGCAGAATGCAGCTCACGTACTGCACTGAACTCTTTCGAATTTGTCCTCCTTTCTTACATCTTTGATTCAAAGATCTTTTCTTGACAAGCTTTCCATAGAGCCTGACTTCTCAATTGACTGTCTCTATTTGCTAAATTGCTCTGAAATTCCCTGTTCAGACAAGTAATGAACGCTGCTACTACGCACCTCTCAAAACACCCCAACCCTCAAATCTCCAGATGTTTTACTGCCATTTAAAACAGGAGGCTTTGCTTTGCCCCTGTGAAACAGTCAGTGCCATTCCCAATACGCAAATGCAAACACAGGAGACTTCACAAAATCTAACATGAGCCGAGCGAGGCTCGCCTCTGTAGCCAACAGAAGGCCGTGCGAGTGAGAGCCATCCAGCTCAGGGGTTTTCTGCTGCTGTCCAGGTGAGGAGGTGTGGGAGAGGAGCCCCACTGCAGTCAAGGCTGGCCCTTGCCAATGCACCCCAAGACTGCCAGCCATCCCAGAAGACAACAGCTAAAGTGGGAATACAACAGAAAATCCCTGACCTGCAGCTTTATGCTCTGGCCGTAAGTTTATCTTTCCCTTCTCAGTAGTTAGAATGGGGCCTGGATTTTAAACACTGAGCCAGCACGGGCTGAGGAGAGCTGAGTTACATCTGTTAAGGCTCCTGTTATGCTGCTTGAATTGATGGATCCCCTAAGGAACACATACGGAAACCGTCCTTAGTTTCTGAGGCAAGCGCAAGATACTTTGCAGTAACTGTTCCAGAAATACTCTTTTTGCCATGCTCTATTCCAGAATAATTTCTTTGCTCTGAGGGTACATCCATTATTTTCAAGTAAACCACAGAAAGCTAGAAAATTATGTATGGTTGCATTAAAATTAAAACGTGACATGGTCTGAAGTATATATAGTCTCGCACTATTTGCATTAATTTTGGTGATTTTTACCCCAAACTCATTGCCAGTTCAACCCTCGTCAAGCCAATGGATGGATCTGCCCAGTGTGTGGAGACCAATATACACACATGCTTACCTGGTTCCTTTGTCAAGGGGAAGACATTTGGACTCATGCTGGCACGGATTTAGATCAGGAACACAGTGGTTAATCACCTCATCACACAGTTCACCTGAGGCAAAAGAAAAGCAAAGAAGCTGTAACACAACTTGGACAATCCTGAAGGAGCTTCAGCCAGGATGTTCAGGGATGGCGAACCTCCCTAAGTGGAGACAGCGCAGTAGTTCAGCA